GTCCCGCGGTTATTGACCGAAGACCACAAAGGTCACATTGGAAGCAATTGCAAAGATGGGGTGGGAAGTTCTTCCATACCCCTCCTATAGCCCTGATCTGGCACCCTCCGACTACCATCTTTTCGGATTTTTGAAGGATCAGCTGCATGAACAATGTTTTGAAACAAGGGAGGCAATTCAGAAAGCTGTGCGTTAGTGTCTTCGGATAGCTGGAACGGAATTTTACAGAAGGGGAATTTTAAACTCCCAGAACGCTGGGAGAAATGTGTACAAAGAAGTGGCGATTATGTGGAAAAATAAAGAAAGGTCTGTTGATTGAGGTGGTGTATTTGGTTTGTCAATAATAAAGCATGTTACTTTACAAAAAATTGTTGCTCATGACTTTCAGTACGACCCTGGTACATCCATGTTTCGAAGATCCCAGTGTTTGGGCGGGCGAAGACATTTCATACTTTATACCAAGCGGCCAACGCGATCGGCAGAGATATTTAATAAAATGTTATTTTCTGAAAGATTTTCATAGCATGGAGACCAATCGATTGATACAACGCAGCATATTTTGTTTTATTTTTGTTACAGATTGACCCATGTGGCCGGTTATGGGTGATAGATTCCGGTACAGTCAATATCTTGTCCAGTGACGTCAAAAGAATCTGCCAGCCGCAACTTCTTGTATTCAACCTGAAGAACAATAGGCTCCTACTGCGCTATCGAATACCTGACAGCGTCCTTCGGGAACATTCCATCCTGACCACAGTCGCTGCCGACATCCTCGATGTAAAAGGCCGTTGCCAGGAAGCTTTCGCCTACATAGCTGACGTCACTGGCTTCGGCCTAATTGTTGTTGACGCGCATCGAGAGAAATCATGGCGAGTAACCAGTAATTACTTTTACCCTGACCCTCTGAATGGACACTTCAATATTAACAACGAACAGTTTGACCTGATGGACGGCGTACTTGGTCTAGCGTTGTCTCCAGCTCAGAACGGCAAGAAGGACAAGACACTGTACTTCCACAGCCTGGCGGGTGTCCGAGAGTCTTGGGTATCTGCAGCACTTCTGCGCAACGAATCTAACTTCGAAAATAACAACAATGCTGTTGCTGATAAGTTCTACGTTTCTCAAGGCACTCGGCCAGGACAGTCAGCTGCTTCTACGATGGATGGTGAGGGCGCTGCTCTATTCTTCAGCGTTCTCACCAAGAATTCACTCAACTGCTGGAACCCAAGATTGCCCTACAATGAAAACAACATTGTGGAGCTCGACCGAGATGACGTGACATTTCAATTTGCCAGTGGTCTGAAGGTATGAATTTCTTTTCTTTACCTCTGTATACATATGGGATATCTGTATTACCCGTTTTGACGTCATTTCGTATAATTCAGTGTTTCTTAACCGCGAAGAGCATCATAACTTGAAGAAAGCAGTCTTCTGGGATTTGGCACCGTGTATATGTGGTGTTAATCCCAGAAGACGGCTTTCTTCATAATCACCGCCGTGAAAGCCTCAAATCTTACACAGCATCATAACTTGTACTCTTCTCCAGGTATAATTAGAACGATCAAGTAAAAGAGGATGAGGTAAAAAGGGCATGTAGCACGAATGGGGGAGACGAAGAATGCATACAGGATATTGGTGGGAAAGCCAAAAGGAAGGAAACCACTGGGAAGACCAAGGCGTAGGTGGGTGGACAATATTAAAATGGATCTTAGAGAGATAGAATTGGGTGGTATGGATTGAATTGATCTGGCTCAGGATAGGGACCAGTGGAGGGCTCTTGTGAACACGGTAATGAACTTTCGGGTTCCATAAAATGCTGGGAAATTCTTGAGTAGCTGCAGAATTGGCGGCTCCTCAAGAAGGGCTGAGCTCCATGAGTAAGTAAGTAAGTAAGTTCTTAACCGCGATGCCAGTCTGGAGGTATTGAGACACGTTGAATTCAAATGCTCTTTCACATAAACAGTATTTCACAAATTGTGACAACAGCTGTGAGATATTGTTCAACTTTCCTTCGTCATATCGACTGTTTTGGTTAATTTGTTTCAACTCTTATTAAGAACTGCTTTGTAGTTACTACAACTAATATGTTGTTGGACATTATCCATCATCTTCTCTATTCTTAAAAAAACGTCCTGTTTCTTTTTAAAACACAACGTTTCGGGGACTGGATTCTGTCCCTGTCTTCGGGTAAAACCTACTCATTTGGGTCCAATAGACAGAGCTAGCACCTATCTCCGGACCTAGGAGACCTGTGGTCTAGTGGCCAGAGTTCTTGGCTACAGATCCAGAGGTCCGGGTTCGATTCCCGGCCTTACCAGATTTTCTGAGTAGTAATGGGTCTGGAAGAGGGTCCACTCAGCCTCTTGAGGATAATTGAGGAGCTCTGTCAAGGAAATAGCGGTCCCGGTCTAGAAAACAAAAATTAACGGCCATGGGGATTCGTTGCGCTGACCACGCGACACCCTCTAACCGCTAAAGTTGGCACTAACTTCGCCGACAAGCGGCGGTCGCTCGGTCGGTATAGTTCGCTTCCGGACTGAAACCACGGAATTTGTTTGTTTTGTATAATTCGCACAATGAACACTGTCCCCCTCTAACCAGCATTAAATTGTCTGTTCTCGTAGCAGACAAATAATGGGTTTCCTTTGAGGAACAAGCTGAAGTTTCACGTATTATTCAGAAGAAACTCAGTTCTTAAATTCGGTAAATAATTTAATGTAGTGTAATACAAAAATATATGCTTAAAACAAAAACATTAATGAAATACGAAAAGTAATACTAACACAGTTGGTGCATCCATGCTTATACATACAATTTTACAGTAACACATGATTTGATATGCCACGAAATATTAGAGCATATTCTAGATTATTATTGGTTCAGAAATACTTAAAAACAATTTTTTGTTTTAATATTGTTTCCAAGCCAAATAATTTTTTTTCTTTTTGTGGCGCTCGCTGTAATGATTTATGATTCGTTGCGGATATGAAATGAAAACTGCAATTCACTGCGCACTCAGTTTACCGTGCAGCCACGTGCCTGATGTTGGTGTTGTTGCACTGTTAACCTTGCCGCAGGAATGTCATACAATTTCCTTCTAACTTCAACAAAATTCTACTCTATTCAAATTGGCTCGTGATAGAGTCAAATAGGCGTAGTTATGACATAGATACATTATTATTATTATTATTATTATTATTATTAT